CCCTGGCCTTACCGACCAGCTCCTTCGACAAGGTTCTGCTGATGCCCCCGGGAGGTGGACTGCTCGACCCCTCCTCGACAGCTCGCTCCTCCCGAGGGAGGAGAAAATTCATTTGTTTTCCATGGCTCATTTTTTTTTTCAGTGAGTCTGTCCTTTATTCAACATCCCTAAGCCCTGTCTCCAGGATTGGGGAAGGCTGTTAGAAAAGACGGCTGGCCTCCATGGGATGGTGCTATAAATAGGTATATAAATAGGTGCAGCAGACAGAACCACCTGCTAGCCTCACCCTACTTCCATCTGCTTGAATTACAGCCCCGGTGCCCGCAGTGACGCCCCACTGCCGCAGCCACGGCTCACCTAGCACTGCCATCCCTGTGCCCGTCGGCAGCCTCGGCGTGCTGTGGTGCAGGGCAGGCGGCCGGCAGCCTCCGCGTTTGAAGTCTGCGAGGAAAGCAGCCGTGTGCTGCTGCCCTGGGAGCCCTCCCGTAGCGGGTCTGGGAGCTGCTGGCCACCCCGGCACGGGAACGCCTTCACCTGCCACGCTGGTGCCTGCGGCACCGGGCAGCGTTCCCCTCGCACTATGGCTCTCGGCAGGCTCTGCTTTCGAAGGTTTAGTACGCTCCAGGGTGATGCCAAGCAATTTGCTGTGGTAGGGACTGTTGGATTTAGACACCAGGTGGTCTGAAATTCATGCGGGTGTAGCAGCAGCCAGCCCCCACGGTTGGGTTTTGGTCCATGGTGGACTGAGGGGCTGCAGCGGCGTTTCTGCCTTGCTGAATCTTCTCGGCATCTGCAACTATTTGAGCATTTGCTCAAAAAATAGTCATTCCTGTTGGAGCTCATCTGAGTGATTAAACTGCGTCTTATATTGGAATCATGCGGTGTGATGCTCATTTATATCAGCGAGGCGCAGAGCTCGGCCATGGTGTGTGTCACCCCTGTCCTGGAGCTGTGCTGAGCACGGTGCTCGCTGGCATCGCTTCCTGGCACCCTTGGGTGCTGTGGCCAGGTGGTCTTCGTGAAACATGTTTTCCTCTGCATCACCTTAATGCAACTGGAATACTAAACCCAGTAATTTCCTAAGCGGTCAGGCTTTGCCGGGAGGTGAATTGCGAATGAAGGAATCCCTGTCATGAGAGTTTGGGGTGAAATAACGTATGAGACGGGCTGACTGCAGCTGCGCTGCCGGCAGAGTGGGGTTTGCCAGCTCCGTTGGTCTTCTGGGGCGGTGGGAGCTCTTCTTGAAGGCGGCTTGTCCATAAACCTGGGGTTAAAATTGATGGAGAAAACTTGGTAGTTTCCCCTCTGACATACTGGATGGATGTCATGACATGCAGGATTGAGACAAACCATAGTTGTGTCATTTCTTAATGCGCATTTCAACACTTTTGCTGATTTCTAAGGCTGCTAATCTTTTTTTTAACTTCCATTTCAGTTAGCCACGTGTTCTGGGCTGTCTGCCTCATGTCTTTTTCCAGTTTCGCTGAAGGAACTCTTCCAGCTCTGCAGGGCCGCGAGATCGGTTTGAAAGGCCAGAAAAATGCCAGAGGTGAAAAACTGTCCTTTGAAGAGTTCGGGCGTTCAAAGCGTAGTTTTACCTCTCGCTTATCGTGAGGAGCATTCAACGAGGTGCTGCTGGCAGCGGTAGCTTTGTCGTGCTGCTGGTGGTGGGGAGAGCACGGGTACCCCTGCCCGTGCTGTCCCTGCCCGGCTGGGTCGGTGACGATGCTGGGCTGAAGGCTCCTGCGCTTCGCAGGAATTTAAGATCATGGCTGTCCTGATATTTCAGAAGCAAAAATCATAAAATCCAAATCTGTACGCTGTCCTTTATAAAAACCTTAAAAATACAGCCTTAAATGCTGCTCTCCAGGAAACGAGTACAAGCCAGTGTGTATCACTGGGAGAATGGCACGCTCCTTGTCTTTGCTTTAAAATGTGGCTTTGCTGCCAGCTCGCCTTCCTGATCAGTGGTATCTATCACTGTGAAGGTCTAGGGAAGAAAAGTTATGCCGGATAATCAGTGTTCACTTTATCAGAGGTAAGGAAAGAGCACGTCGTTCTCCCTAGCAGCTGTAAGCTCCATCACTCCCAGTTTTCTCCAAAACAGACCACTATCCCCCCCCCAAATTTGTCATCCTTCCAACCTTGCTTGCTTGCTTTTTGATTTGGTTGTTTTTTTTAGCCGATACGTTGCCTAACTTCTGAGCTGTTGGCAAGGAGACCCACGGTCTCCTTCTGCTTGTGGCAGCCAGAAAAGCCTCTCTGCGCGGTAACTTCCTTGATCTTCGATCCAGCATAATAAGGCTTGCCAGCTTTTCTGAGCTGTGACAGGTACGGCATAGCAGGTTTCCATCAGTCAATAAGGGAGATAAGACAAGCGTAAGGAATATATGATAAATGTGAAAAATTGCTATGTTGGTCTTTTTTTTTTTAAAAAAAACCAAACCAGTAAATAAAGAAAATAACCTTGTCAACAAGTTTATGCACTTACCGCAAGGTTGCCTGGGCAAGGAGGAGAATGTACAAGAAGAAAAAATTAGGTTTAGGAGAGGAAACAGAAACTCGGAGGGGGAAAAGTGGGAGGGTGATGTGTAAGTTTAGGTGATGGTACAGAGGGCAGATAACCAGCTTGCAAAGCAAAAGGCCACTAGGTAGGGAGAGTTACAGAAAAATGTGTTTGTACTTGAACCACAGCCCTGCTTTTGTTCCGTGAAGCCTGGGCTAGATCGACTGCGATAGGGAAACGACAGTTTATAAAAGACTCGGTCAATAAAGGACTGATTGGAAAGGATAAGTACGTAACAGAATTATTAGATATTCAGTAAATTCCTTTGCAAGAGATTTGTAAAGTACAGCTAAATATAGTAAGTTATTTTTAGAAGTTCATGCTAGCCATTTACTTCTGGCAAGTGGAAAACCCATGTCAGTGTGTGAAAAATGGCCTTTGTAAAATGTGTCAGTATTTCTGAGTCCCCACGGCATCTAGAAAGCCTTCAGGGACACTCGCAAACAACTTGCCATGGGTTAATGCAGAGCACTGGCTACGCTGTACTGGGCCATTTTTCAGCTACCTAATGGTACGCATCTCTCGTTTATGGAGTCACAGCAGTGCCGTTTTCCTCACGAGATGCTGGTGTAGATTCGGGACTACCTAGAAGGCTGACCGGAAGGTTTGGTTTTTTTTCCCCTCATCTGAAAAAATCAACATGTTTTTGTGTTTGAGCAGCTGTAGAGTATTTAGGAGCGTTGTGTGAGTCAGGACTCATTACTCACGTTCCTAATGGCACATCTGGGCTCAGTCGGGTAGCTTCATTGATTTCAGAGTTGAGGTATTTTGGTGGGACGATGTTTGGGGACTTCATGCAGTTAATACACGGTGCGTAAATACAACAGCTCGGAGCAGAATCCGGCCCCTTGGCCGAACACTTTGTGTATTGGCTTGTAAAGCTTTGCTGCGAGTACTGGTGGGTTGGGTACCGCGTCCAGAGCCTCCTCTCCGGGGTGGCAGCGTGGATGAGCTCCGTCTCCTTCATGATGCAACT